GGGAAGGAATCTTTGGATGGAATTCCCAGAGAAGTTGGGATTGTCCCAAGGAAAGGTTGGAGAAGCTCCAAGGAGTCACTTCCAGGGGTTCCAGGAGAGCTGGAGGGGGATTTGGGACAAGGGATGGAGGGACAGGACACAGGGAATGGGGTTAAAATGGGAAAAATGGAGATTGGAGTGGGATTTTGGGGAAGAATTCCTGGCTGGGAGGGTGGGGAGGGAATGGGATGGAATTCCCAGAGCAGCTGGGGATGCTCCATCCTTGGGAGTGCCCAAGGCCAGGCTGGGAATGGAATCCCATTCCTGCTGGGATTCACTGGCTCTGGCAGCTCTGGGAATGGGGAATGGGATTTGGGAATGAGGGATGGGGATGAGGAGTGGGGAATGGGGATGGAGAATGAGAAATGAGGAATTGGGAATGGGGTTTGGGAATGAGGAATGGGGAATGGGGAGTGAGGAGTAGGGAATGGGAAATGAGGAATGGGGAATGAGGGGTGGGTAATGGGGAAATGGGAATGAAGAATACGGAATGGGGTTTGGGAATGGGGGATGAGAATGAGGAATGGGGTTTGAGAGTGGGGTTTGGGGGTGGAGGATGAGAAATGAGGAATTGGGAATGGGGTTTGTGAATGAGGATGGGAAATGAGGAATGGGGAATGAGGGGTGGGTAATGGGGAAATGGGAATGAAGAATTTGGGAACGGGGATGGGGAATGAGGAATGGGAAATGAGGAATGGGGTTTTGGAATGGGGAATGGGAAATGGGGAGTGAGCAGTGGGAATGGGAAATGAGAGATATGAATGGGGAATTGGGAACAGGAATGGGAAATGAGGAATGGGATTTTGGGAATGGGGAATGAGCAGTGGGAATGGGGGATGGAAATTGGGGAATGGGGAATGAGCAATGGGAATGGAGAATGAGGGATGGGAATGAGGAATGGGGTTTGGGAATGGGGATGGGAAATGAGGAATGGGGAATGGGGAGTGAGGAGTAGGGAATGGGAAATGAGGAATGGGGAATGAAGAATTGGGAATGGGGAATGAGGAATGGGGTTTTGGAATGGGGAATGGGGATTGGAAAATGGGAAATGGGGAGTGAGCAGTGGGAATGGGAAATGAGAGATGGGAATGGGGAATTGGGAACAGGGATGGGCAATGAGGAATGGGGTTTGGAAGTAGAAATGGGGAATGAGGAATGGGATTTTGGAATGGGAATGAGCAATGGGAATGGGGAATGAAGGATGGGAATGAGGAATGGGGAATTGGGAATGGGGATGGGGAATGAGGAATGGGATTTGGAATGAGCAATGGGAATGAGGGATGGGAATGGGGAATGAGCAATGGGAATGGAGAATGAGGGATGGGAATGAAGAATGGAGAATGGGGCATTGGGAACAGGGATGGGGAATGAGGAATGGGGTTTGGAAATAGAAATGGGGAATGAGGAATGGGATTTTGGAATGGGAATAAGAAATGAGCAATGGGAATGGGGAATGAAGGATGGGAATGAGGAATGGGGAATTGGGAACAGGGATGGGCAATGAGGAATGGGGTTTGGAAATAGAAATGGGGAATGAGGAATGGGATTTTGGAATGGGAATGGGGAATGAAGGATGGGAATGAGGAATGGGGTTTGGGGAATAAGGAATGGGAAATGGGGTTTTGGAATTAGGAATGGGGAATGAGCAATGGGAATGGGGAATGAAGGATGGGAATGAGGAATGGGGAATTGGGAATGGGGATGGGGAATGAGGAATGGTGTTTGGGGAATGAGGAATGGGGAATGTGGGATGGGAATGAGGGATGGGAATGAGGGATGGGAATGGGAACGGGCAGTGACAGCAGCTCTGGTTTCTCCCTTCCAGACCAGCGGCCCCGGAGGGTTCGACTTGGCCGGATTGCTGAACAACCCCGGCTTCATGAGCATGGTGACTGCAGATCCTGGGGCTCCCTGGGGGCTCCCCTGGGTGGGATTCCCTGGGATGGAGCCCCTCTGGAAGCTTTCCCCGCTCCCTGGGGCTGTTTGAAAGCTGTCGCTGCTCCCTTCAGCTCACACAGAGCTGGGAATTTCTCCTCAGGCTTTTCCCAGGCTGTGGCAGGGCCTGCTCTGCTCTGGGTTTGGCATTCTCTCTCCTTTTTGCCATTTTCCCCCTTTTCCTGGATTCCCAAACATTCCCACCTTCCCTTTGGGGTTGATCCCACCCCGTCCCTGCTGCCTCACCCGGGTGTTGTTTTTATTCCCCACAGGCCTCAAACCTCATGAACAACCCCCAAGTACAACAGCTGTGAGTTGGATCCCACTTTTATTTATTCCCTCTTGGAATTCTGGGTTTGTTCCCTCTTGGAATTCTGGGTTTGGCCTTTCCCAGTGGGAGCAGGAGGGAATTTGGGCCAGGAATGTTGAGGGGGGGCTCAGAACCAGTTTCCTGAGCTTGGGGGGTTTGGGTGCTCTGGAAAGTGCTGGGAGAGGGATTGGAATAAAATTGTTCCTGGGGGAGATGGGTCATGGCCCTGGAATTGGTTCTGCTGCAGTTTTATGGGATTTCAGGAATTTCCCAGCTTGGTTGAAATGGGAATATTCCCATTCCTGGATGGTTGAGAGGAGCAGTTCCCAATATTTGAAGAAAATGGATAAATTCATTCCTGAATCCATTCCTGAGCAATCCTGCAGGGCGTGGCAGGAGGGAGGGACCCTCTGGAGCCCCCAAATCCTTGGAATTTTGGGATGAGACCGCTCAGCTCCCTTTGGCTTCTCCCTCTCCGTGGTGCCATTGGGAATTCCCACCTGGAGGGAATCCAGGGAGGCAGAGCAGGGCTGGAATTCCATAAATCTGGGAACATCAACGTTATTATAATAAATTTATTAATTGCTCAGCTTAATTAGTTCTTTCCAGCCAACCCAGGAAAAGCTGCTGCAGGGAATTCCGAGATCCCCGGGATGGGAAGTTGCTCCTGCCCATCCCCAGGTGATTTTTTGGGGATTTTTCCCCGGTTTTGAGCCCTTTTTCCCTCCCCAGAATGTCGGGGATGATCTCGGGAGGCCACAACGCCATGGGAGCGACCGGGAGCAGCCCCTCCACCAACGACCTGGCCAGCCTGATC